GGGGGGGGGGGCATGTGCCCCCCCTGAGGTTGGCCCCTGACTTGGCACAGCTTAGGACGGGGCAGTTGTTTTGCCATGTGGGCTGGCGGCGTGTTTGGTAGGGGGCAGCACTAAGCCACAGCACTGAAATATAGGAGTGGATATGGGGCTTTCGGCCTGCCCCCAGGCTTGCCCACAAACTGTGCCCCCCCAGACTCGAGAGGCACCGGTCACCCCTGAATCCTCTGGTTTCTAAGGATTTATCTTTCCCCTCCCTAGGGGAATTCAGATACCACTCTTTTTTTTTTATGACATCCCTGTAGTAGAGCACAATTTGACCCTCCGTGTTCACCAGTAGGCAATGCTTCCTTGTTCTTGGCTAGCTGCTTTCACACGTCCTCTGCTCAACTTCTGACGAGGCTATTTCCACCTGGTGGAGTTCAGTGCTGCCTAGTCAAGCATCAGTATGTCTCCAGTGTACATAACGCTCTGACTGAGAAAGAAGCAATAGGAGTGCACTGTTGTTTAGCGCGTCAGCATGTGATTGAATCCTGTTAACTTCAATGGGGCTTAAGCGCTGATGTGAACAGGAGATGCTTTCTTCGGTCAAGTTTGTAGTTAATGTTGCTAGTGGTAGTTCTCACCCACGGATGCTGGATCAGAAGCCTGAGGATAGCGTCCTTGTACCTCTCCAAACTTTGTAGCTTGAGCGCTCCATTGGCTTTCAGTCCTGGTGTGGTACTTACAGTGCTTCTGCATTTGTTTTGCTAGGAAAGCCACTTTGGGAGCTGGTGCTGGAACAGTTCGAAGATCTCCTTGTGCGGATTCTTCTCTTGGCTGCCTTTGTTTCATTTGTAAGTATAATCTCCTCAGCTAGTGTGTGAGAGACTGGTCAGCATTTTCAGTGTGCTCATTAACAAGTTGAGGTGTACTAGTAGATGAACAGAGCTGGGTGGGAGGAGCTATACAGATGAGTAGAAGGTGCTCACTATAGGGACCTGGAGTAAGGTTTGTGGATTCAAGGCCTGGCACTTTCCACCAGCTGCAAGAGCTGTGACTCTGATGGCTGGAGAGGATGGAGACATGTGACACTGATGGCTGGAGAGGAGCAGACTCTGACCCAATCTGTTTGCACTGTACCATGCAGAGCTTTTCTCAGGGGATATGGTTTGTCTAAATGGCTATCATATTTAATCACAATGGGTAAAATGAAACTAACTTGCATAACAGGTATAAAAGATGCAATTGAATGTAGGTGCTTTTGCTTTATAAAGCAATTATGCCAGCAGCACAGTGACTATGGAGGGCATCACGACACTACCTTGCCCACAGCTTTGACATTAGATTATGGGTTTTTAAGAAATAGCTAATATAATTTTAACCTTCCCTGGGTTCTTTGTTTCATCCAGAATGGGCAGAAGGGATCTGGTACAGTTTTTAAAGCCAGTCCCAGTGGCATGCATTAAACTAGAAACCCTGCAGCATCTACGTACCTTCAGGTTTCCCTGTCACTAGGTGCTCCCACTGAGTATAATGACAACCTGGCATGTTTAAAACCTCTGAATCAAATAATTCATGCTGAAAATGCATGCCACGCTTCCAAAAAATTGCAGCTGTTAACTGTATTGGTTTCACTATGTGTTGTAACTAAGTTCCCTCCAAACCTGTTCAGTAATGGTCCAGTCATTAGTTGGTGATTCATTTAGCATACAGCTTTCTACTCCACTTGCACTCTGTAGCAACTAGATCCGTGTATAGTGGCTTAATGGAAGGCAGCGGGAGTCTAACATCCGGATCCTACGCCCAGCTGGCCTGCTGTCTGATCTTAAAGTTCAGCTTCACCGATTCATACATCTTAAGGGCAGAAAGGACTTTGTGATCATCTAGTCTGAATTAGTTCCTGCACTGAGTTTCGCAACAGTGGTTGAGTTACAGCATGTGTTTGAGAGAAATATCCAGTCTGTATTAAATAAATAAATAAAAACTCAGTGATGGATAGTCTACTGCAACCCTTGGCAAGCAGTTTCAGGGGTTAATTATCCTTTCTGTTAAATTGATATCTTATTTCTAGTTGGCATTAGTCTAGTTTCAGCTTCCCACCATTGGATCTTGTTATATTTTCTCTGCCAAACTGCAAAGCCCTCTGATCAAACTTCTGTTCCTCCCAGAGGTGCTTATTGATTAAGATCTAGTTAGCAGCCCCTGGGATCTGGGCTCCAATGTGCTGTACAAACAAAATAACATCTAGTCCCTCGTTCCCAAGGGTTTTACAATCTCAAATTCATGAGATTCAGCAAATATAATTAGGCAGCAGTGAAACATAACCACAGTGTTTAAAAAAAAAAAAAAAAAAAAAGCTTCA